ATAGTCTCTTCCCATTGCATCCAGTTCTCGCAGGTGCTCATCAATATTCCTCCATTGTCGTCCGGCGTCACGGGGACCCCTGCCTACCAACTGCATGATGGTGAGTATACGAAGATATGCAAGGCGAGCCTTCAAGTGAGTCTGATTCCCACGGGCCTCCCGAGTGTCGCCGGCGACAACAGCCGTGCTGTTGGGAAGCGGAGGAGTCAAACTGTCCCGCATCTGACAATCGAACAGGAATTGATGCAACATCAGTAAGGACAAGCATCGGCAGTGACCTTTTTCGTCCCCATTTTTACCTACCAAGATCATTAAGGAAGTGATAGTGGGAATTGGATGAGTGATCTCCCTCCCAGACGGTGCCTGGATGTTTGTCAGGAGCTGGATCGAAAGAATGATAAATTAGCTCAGACCGAGAAAAAAAAATCCCCTCACACACCAAGTCACGCATCATCCCTCGGCTTTTTCGCAACTGGACCCTGACAAAGCTATCGACGCTGGATACGGCCCCGGGATGGCCGTCAGCATAGCCTCGTGGAAGATAATCGCGCTTGAAGTTTGCGGGCTGTTCATTGATGTAATCCTGCGCATGTGAAGGCAATGATTGAATCAGAATGAGTCGCTATTTGTGAAAATGCCGGGTAGTGAGGGGAAACAACACAGAACTAACCAATACGAGCACCAATAAGCTCTTGATGGTGCCCGGTGCTCCTCGGGGAGGATCGGACCCGTAAACCTTTAAGTTCTTGGTCATGAGGAGCTCGCGAGCCCTTCGTTTGACAAATCCCTTGAAAACTGGAGCATACATAAAGCTCCGAGCTTGGTCCGCAGGTGCAACCACCTCAGGGACTGGATGGACGTCCGGGACAGGTGCCACAGTGTTTCGGGTGCGATCAATGGCCTGTAGAATGGCGAGCTGGCTGTAGAGGTGGATGGCATATTGCCGGGGGGGCGCCACCTACAGAAAGCAGTCAGCGTTTCAATGATGAAGGTAGTGAGGAGCGAGTTGTCTGTTCTTACATATGCTAAGGACTCGCCGGCATGAGCATATCCTCGCCTCAACTCAAACAAAACCTCCAGTTCTTGAACGAACTCGTCATCAATTGGCTCATCGAGATGCGTCATTTCAATGGCACTGTCGGGGATACCAGCAAAGGCCGTGACTCGCACTTCATCTGGGTCCGGTAAGCGTGCCGTTCGGAGGGCTGCAACTGGGGCCGGTGTCTGGGCAACCCCACCCGTTGGAATAAGGGCTGGGAGAAAAAATAAATCAGCCGCCAGGAACCTGATTTCTAGTCGCTTCTGACGCACCTGCACGAGGTTGTCTGGCCGTTTGAGGAGAAGCAGCCGTAGGTCTACGCACTTCCCGACCTACAGCCGCCGCCGCGGCTACCGAACCCCTTAAGGGTGGAATTGATTGAATAGAATTGCGACCACGGGGTTGACTACTCGTCCGGATGGGACCAGTCTGACTTGACTGGGCTTGGGTCTGGCGATGAATCCGGTGGTCGGGTCGTGGTGCTGGTGAGTGATGGTTGTCAGAAGCCTCGCGATCGCTTTCTGATTCGGTGGGAGCATATTCTGACATTCTGATTGAAACAGTGGAGATATTAGAAACGGCCTGAACAAGATTTACAACAAAGGAGGAATGAAGGAAGAGGGAAGCGACTCAACGTGAACCAGAGGGCCTCCTTTTGAGGACAATTTGCTGAGACTCCGCAGGTGAATATGAAAAAAATGAGTGTCTTCCGCATCAAGAGAGATCCCCATCCGCACTGCGCAAGGTCACCATTTGGCTGGCCTGTCCAAGAATAATCCAGTCATTTGGGCCTGCACGGTTTGGGCCATCCCAGATAAAGTTCAATTGGGTGAACCACGTGCTTGGCACAACCTCATCAGTCAGTAGCCAAGGATTCACGGTTTCAGAAATGTTGTGGCACGTGGTAGTTTTTCGCACAAAGAAATTCAATGTGGGAATGGCCGGAAAGCTTCAAGCCTTAGTTTCCCCTGCTGAAGCTGTCCGTACCAAAGCATTGGCCGCTGGGGAATGGGGGTGGCCCGTGACTAGACCTTGATTTGGTTCCATCACGGGGTAGGAAACACACCAATCAGCCATAACCGGTGGATATTCATCAATCATGGGGTTTGTTGGTATCTCCTCGTCCTCATCTGTGAGGCGGAAATTAAACCATGTGCTAAAGCACGGCGATCAGGCCAACAACCTGCACAGGGAACCTGATGGATCTTCAATTAATTATGGCAATATTCTTGGCCTTTTGGTCATTCGATCATTGACGTGGACACAATTGGTTTGAATTATCAAATCCCATACATTGGCTCAAGCCCCTGTGGCTCCTACTATCAAGCAATACACGCCGGTACGGACCGGCATTCCACCCTTCACACATACAGACTCGTAGAACAACTCTTACATCATACACGACTATGGGGCGTCCGCGTAATCCTGAGCTTTTGTTGGATCCAGGTGAGCCCATTGTGTTCGAGATCGTGTTGGAATCTCTAGGGGAAATGACCATGCTGAACATCTTTTTTGTGAATTTCTACATTTCAATGAAGCCGTTTGGCGGCTAGACTCATCCGCACAACCAACAATGTATAGTTGTTTGGTTTGCCAGTCTCGATCAATGGTCGAAAAATCAGTCCACAAGCACGTGAGATATGACAAACATATTTCAGCGCTTGCAGCTTTTTATGCCGCTCAGGCAGCCAGTGCCTCATCATCGAGGCTCGAGACGGTGATTAGCCCTTCAATTGGCGGTACTGGAGATGATCCGTTGCAAGCAGCCGAGGCGGAGGTTTACGAGGACGCTCAGACATCTGCGGCATGGTGTCGATGGGAAGGCCTCGAGACCGAACATGAGGATCAAGCTGTTGCGGGCGTAACGGACGGCAGCGAGGATGAACTCAACTATTCATCTGAGTCTTTTGCGGGATCAGCTCGGTCTGGATATGTGTCGGACTCGGAAATGTCGGCTTACGACTCCAACAACGAGGCTGATGATGAAGAATGGGACTTGCCCAACAACCGAAGTGAAGCCGAACTGGATGAATCATACAGGGTCGGTCACAACAATGAACCTGGCCGTCCCCGTCACTCTCGCCAAGGAGACAACCCATGGTGGCCATATAAGAGCAAAGAGGTATGTTGCTGAAATAACCTTTGGTGATACAGTTAGATCAACTCGTCAACTAAAGCCCTCTTGATAGTATTTGGTTGCATCCCTCTTGATTGGTTACACTCACCACATCGTTTCTCGAGCTTTGTATGCACATATTCGACTGCTCTTCAAATTCTACGATATTATTCTACCTGACTGGACGACCATTCGACGCGAGAAGAAAAAAAAGCGCACCTTGCTTGATTTCGAAGTGTTGCCCAGTGTTTCTATATTTAGCACCCCCACCTACCGCTTAAGCCTTCCAAGGGTACTTGCCCAAGAAGTTGCGAATCCTCAAGTCAGCCCAGTAATTGATTACTATCCGCAACAGGCGAATGGTCAAAATATTTATAAACTTTCTCAATCCGCAAAGTGGCTCTCCGAGTTGGAACCCACGTGCAGGGCACCAATGTACCGATCATCAGGTGTTGATTGGTATTTGTATGAGCCGGTACAGATGAAGAATGATGAAGTCTTAATTCCTGTGTTCTTTTTTCAAATGGACGGTGAAATGTACTCCAAGTGTGCGGTGCCTGATTATCAGCCTGTCGGTGATGGGAACCAGCTCCGGATGACGTTCCCGGGAGGGATTCCTTTTGGTTGTGAAAGGCTGAGAACTGTCAAGGTGTCTGACTTTGATTATAACTATCTTGAGATTACAGACGCAGAAGGCCAACTGCTGGCCACTCGCTGTTGGGACTCAATCTATGGTGAGGGTATAATTGTGTATCTTCATTCCGGTTTGCATGAACTGAGAAGTTTGGGCTATGACTGTTCAGAATTAGGAGAAAATCAAACCACGTGGCATCATCTGCCCAACCCATGGCGTGCAAAGGCAAACGGCCGAGTGATAAGGCATATGCCAATCAACCTGTATTCCGATGACACCTCTGGAAACCAATCGAAGCGTTGGAACAAACACATATCCTATTATTTCACATTGTCGGGGCTCCCGCCGAGTCGGACCAACCAAAATTACAATTGTCACTTTCTTACCACTTCGAATATTGCTGGAGCCATGGAGCTGGCTGCACCAATAGTCTCTGACCTTCGGTGTGTGTCTTTTAGATGTCACTGTTCAATAATCAAGCCTGACCTTTGACTAACACTTCCTTAAATTTTCAGGATGCTTGCTTTGGAGGGTTATCCAGCTTTTGACTGCACTATCCAGGAAGAGGTCCTTGTTGTATCGAACATCTTGTGCTTTCTGGGGGACTCGCCGATGCACGCTGAGATCACGAGCACACCTAATCCTGGTAATTCCCTCCACCCATGCAGGGCATGTGCTTTGTCAGCAGCCAGTGTCAAAGCAAAGGCAACACTTGATTATGTCCGCTTTTTCTTCATGATAGGCCCTACAGGTTCTTGGGTCAGTGGGCCAAAAAACCCAGCCTGTGATAGTATATATTATTACGACTGACTGCCACATTTTTCCAACCACAGGTTAAGCATCCACCACGCTTGTGGGAGCAGATCAAAACTCAGTGCTACAATGTGTGGACCATGGCTAAGAAACCGAGGACCAAGACGGCCGTTGGAAATAGCTCATCTACGCATGGGGTGAAGGATATGATCAACAGAGCTGTTATTGACCAGAGATATGAAGTGCTTGAATTGGGACCGGATGCAACTGCTACTCAGAAGCGTTTCTTGGAGGAGATCAAAGAGCTTGATCGGTCTAATCCAGAACGACTGTTAAATCCTTACTTTGAGGCCCCAGGTGAGTACACTCTTATGAGTTACTTTGATTGCTTGCTTGCAGCCAACAAAAGGCTGTCTTCTCTCAATAACATCACAGGTTTTGATGGATGTCGTGACACCCCTGTTGAGATCCTTCATGTGTTTCTTCTGGGGGTAGTAAAATACATGGTCCGCGACTTCATGCGTCGCCTGTCAGCCGAGGATAAACTACACGTCAAAGCTAGGTATCAATCCTTTAACGTTGATGGCCTCAATATTGCATCCATCCAGCCATCCTACCTCACCAAGCACTTTGCCAACTTCATCGGCAAGGACTTCCGTGTAGTCCTACAAGCTGCTCCTTTTGTGCTGTTCAAATACATGGACGACAGGGAGAGGGAACTATGGATTGCACTGTGTCTCCTGGCCCCATTGGTTTTCCAGACTCACATCGAGGATATGGCGGCTTTCCAAGAGCGACTGGTCTACCACGTCCGGAATTTCTTGTACTTGCTTGCAAAGGGTACCGCGCAATGGGTCAACAAGCCGAAAATCCACATGCTCCTACATTTAATGGACTCAATTATTCGTTTTGGACCGGCCTCATTGTTTGCCACCGAAAAATTTGAAGGCTACAACAGTACATTGCGAAACGCTTCGGTACACTCCAACCGCCAGAGTCCAGGTCAAGATATTGCTGTTACCTTTGCAAACTATCTCGTTCTTCGGCACATTCTGTCAGGTGGCTTTTTCTTTGACAAGAAAAGTGGGAGGTATTGCTCTGCTGGATCGCGTGTGACAGACATTTTTTTGCAGAACACCACAATCCAAAAGTCAATGGGGCTCAATCAGGCCTTGCTTGAAGACTCAAATCAACAGTACCCCAATATCAGGAAGTGGAAGGTCAAACCGGAGAATAAGGTTCCGACTCCGCCGGATCTGCAAGAACATCTTCAAGATTACGTGGTGTCACAGATTCATGAGGTCAACCTTGATGCGAAGCATGTGATACGGGCGGGAACATTTGTTTTGGTGAGCTATATCAATTGCTTATGTGTTCCTAATCTTCAAGCTAACACTTTGTTGTTGGCTGCCTGATATGTGTCAGTATGGACGTGGGCGGGATGTGCTTGCAGGCCCCAAGCAATTGGGACAGGTGGACCACCTGTGGAAAGCGAGATCAGGCCGCCGTGTGGCACTATACTTATGCCTGACCCCTTTTGACATGGAGTGTGTGGATTGTTTTTACGGTATGAGGCGGGTGAAACGAGCCCAAGGGGGTATATTCATTAGTGTTGGAGTGAGTTGTTTGTCACATGTCAGCAATCCAAGAGGGGAGAAAATCTGAGACTTAATCAGCTTTTTTCTTTACTGATGTGAATGTGAAAATTCTCAGAATGTGTGCACGACTTTGAACGTGCAGCATAATTGCCACCTGGCAAGCTGTACGATAGCTCCTACCGTTCTGGAACGAAGGGAGAGACAGGAGACTGGCACTTACATGGATGGAATCATCCATACGGACCGAGATAACTATGTTGTGAATCTAGCTTCTTTATCCTCAACCTTGGCTCACCAAAATTATTCCAACATCCCATTTGTGGCCAGGCAGAACCATGACCACTTGGCAGCACTGCATGAGGGGTTGGCAAATTGGCATGCTGCAGGGACCCCAACTGGGCCAGTGGGACCAATTGAGGCAGTGGACCCAGCATTGGGGTTGGTTGAGTAGGTCTTTTCGGAGTTTTTGGGTGTTGTTTTTTTACTCATAGAGATGATGATGCATTTAGAAGAAAGGGTGAGGAGGGCAGGTTTATGTACATACAGCTGTGTGTTCAAATTTCACTCTTCAATCTATGTTTCTTTTGTTTTTCTTTCACAACTGTGTCGCTTCTTTTTCCTATGATTGTGAATATGCTATCTTTCATCATTGTGCGTCAAATCATATCCCATGAATTGATCACCTTGTGTCTAGTTTATTTAATTCCCACTAGCAAACCAAAATTCACTCATCGGTCTTAGCTATTTTTGCTCTTGTCCAAAAAGTAGACTTAAGCCTTTGATGAGACTTTCTCAAGCCCACTTTAGCCAGCTTCACTAAGCTCAAATAGCCTCTCACAGACATTGTCTCATTTCAGTTTTTCCATTTACTTTTCCTCCTCCAACTTTAACATCTTCCCCAGGCATTAAGAAAGTAGGATGAAGGGAAGAAATTTTCACTCCAAAATTGAACCAGGACTAGCGTGACCTAGTCATGACCAAGTCTTGATATATTGTTGGTCCTGGAACAAGTATTGAGGGACTAGGAGGTTGGCAAGCAGTGCACAGGAGGGGTCCTAACTGTGTGAGATGATCAGAGGATGAGGAGCATAGACATTGGGTTTGGGGGGTGTTGTGGATAGGACGGTGTGTCAAATCATTGTTCATCTTGCTCCTTTATGGTTGTGGGGGCAGTGGTGGCATATCAGCACTGCTCCCATTGTGGATATTTGGAAGCTCAACCATCCTTGGCCACGGAAGTGGTGCTTCAGCCTGTCAATCCTTGTTGCCCTGTGTGGGCTGTCCCAGAGAGAGGCCGGCTGAAGTGTCAGTAAAGCTTGTAGGCCATGCCGGACTGTCAGAAGCTCAGGGCCGCGGTCGCAAATGTGCAGCCCAACTGCTCAATGCCACATGGTTTGTGAGTGCGGTCGATCGGTCGGGATGCAAACTCGTTTAGCAGTCGACATGCATTTCGGGTGGGGCATGTCCGTGCCTCCAGAGTGTTTTGTTAGGTGGGGCGGTGGTTTGGTCGGAGTTGTGAGTTTGTCGATGACCATAACGAGGGTCGGGCTGCTGAGAATGAGGTTGGGGCAATGGCCCGTGGACACGCTTGGGTTGCCCGGGGAGGCTCATTAGTTGGCATCGTCGTGTCAGCCTGCGGGCATGCCGGGTGCGTCCTTCAGCCATCGGCAGTGGGAGGGTTTGTCCACAGGGTGAATGTCGCGGAGGGTTGTCTAGGTGTTGTCAAGGGGCCATCCTGGTGGGGTCTGAGTGACCAAGGGGTGTCAGACAAATAGCGGGGACGGCCATGGGCTACTGCCATCCAAGGGCTGACTGACTTTTGCGCGAATGCGCCCGCGGTGTAAGGTATCAAAATAAATCTCAACTATGTTTAACTGGTGTCTGAATATTCTGGGGATTAATCAGTGAGAGTGGCACGGAATATAAGTTCCAGAATATTGAAGGAGGGAAAGAATGAGCCCTCAGAATCAAGGGAGCTTTGGCCAGGAGAATGGGCACATCAATTGAGTGACTAATCATTATTTGTCATGATCTGTAAGTGACATCATAATTGTGTACTAGTTGATCAATACACTAGTTGTTCTTGATGTGTGTACTTAACAGATCCTCTAATAATGCAGTCATAATTGTGATCAGTACATGTATTGAATGTATTAATTCTATTAACACTTAATACTTTATTATTCAATACATGTACATATCTATTTGTAATGATATTTGACCATGAAAATACTGTAGAACATGGATAGCTTTTGGTACAGGTATTTCACAGACAAAGGAGTGAAAGGTAAGTGATAATTACTTATGTATAAAGTAGATATATATTTAATAGATAAGTAATTTAAATGACAAGATAATATTTAAGCTTATATGTAATCAATAGAGATAAGATAAAATATTATAAGATAAAATAAAATAAGATAAAATAAAATAAGATAATAATAATAATGATAAGATAATAATAATAATGATAAGATAATAATAATGATAAGCTAACAAGAGGTAAAGGTAAACAACATTATGGATATGTACTTATGTAAATAAGTACAGGTGTTGCAGTTACTTGTTACATGAAAGGTACTGAGACATGTACTCTGTGGCTGACATCATCCAACCAGCCATGAAAGTTATCAGCAAGTTGGATTTTTACATTTGCAACACACTCACAAAGCCGGCATGTTTTTGTGCTATGGTCCTTGACCCCACCTTTCATTCTGGAAGAAACACGCACTTGCTTCAGGATTGATTTCAAGTTGATGCCAATGCCTTCAGGTCGTGTAGAGCTGGCCCCGGCACATCCGGATATCCGTTTGGATTCGGATATCCGCTCACGTTTTCAGCAAAATCAGACATCCGCATCCGCTGGCGCTGGCGGGTACCCGCGCGGATATCCGCGGATATCTGCCCCTTAAATGACCCCTAGGGTGCAAAATGAATGCTCCTTGGGGAAATTTCAGATTTTGGGAGCTGCATAAACAGCAATTTTGAAGTCCTTGCAGCCTGCAAGCCTTGAATTTTTCTTTTCTTTTTTCTTTTTTTAATCAATTTTTTACCACTTATTTTTCACGTTTTTTTGAAATTTTAAATTTATTTCCTAGGTTTCAAAATGCGTAGGACTTTGTGGTAATATTAAATTGCTTTAGAAATCAAAGGATCACTTTGAAAATTCCAATCAAGCACATTTTTTCAATCAATTTCTTACAGCTTATTTCTCAATATTTTCTGAAATTTTAAATTTTTTTCCTACAATTTAAGACATGTAAAAAATTATGGTAATAATTATTTTGGGGATTAATAAACGTACCCGGGTTTTCCGCGTTTAAACCCGGTTTTGCCGTCATCTCAACGTCCCCGCCGTACCCGCTTTACCGCGTTGAAACCCGGTTCCTGTCCACCTTTTCCAAGGGTTTTCAGAACCTTAAAAATGTTCCAAAAAATGTTTTAAATCATAAAAATAATTCCTATGTGTATAAAACATAGGAATTTGAATATTTTATTTTTATTTTATTTTTCATACCCGGTTCTGATAAACCCAGTTACCCGCATTTACACCTGGGGTTTTTTTTTTCTTTTTTGCGCTGCGTGCCGCAGCTTCCCCGGCTGGAAAACTTAATATGATCCTCTCCGTCATGGAGGAGTGAACACCTCCATGACTGAGGAGTTTTACTCGGTCATGGAGGGGTGGAAACCTCCATGACCAAGGTTTTTTACTCGGTCATGGATGGGTGGAAACCGTCCATGACCAAGGTTTTTTACTCG